TTTCAGTGGAGTGAGGTGAGCCAGTTCTTTGGCTGTGGGGACATGCTGAATCGCCTGTCTCTGGAGCTATCCCAGCAGTCCCTGCGCGATGCGGAGCTCCGGGACCGTCAACATGTTGCCCTCTTCAGGTTACGGGAGGAGGCGCTGAAAGAGAAGACACAAGCCGAGCTGGCCTGGCTGGAGCATCAGAAAATGTGAGTCTGGCTTCTGAAGTATTGATCTTGTTTAAAGGACAGGACTGGGGCTAACATTGTAGATTTTATCTGAAAGATAGAGGACAACTGCGACAGGGAATGTTTCAGCTGCTTTATTTTTAGGAAGCTGGAGCTGAAGACTAGAAGACAATAAGGTTAATATTACATGCTGAGCTGAAAACAGAAATGCAGTGTTGGAATACATTTTGGAAAGAATGGACACTACTGAGCTTCATTGACAGAGGCACATTAGGACTGTGTTTACGTGCCAAGTAACTCGTCTCTAAGATGGCCTTTTATATAAAAGGTATTGCCTTCAGCTGATTAATTATGCAGTGTAAAATTGTCAATAGATTCTATTTCAGGTCAAAGGAGGAGAAGAAGTCCTAGCAACCTATATTATTCAGCAGGAGCGCACTGCACAGTACACATTATGGAGCAGCTACAGAAACTAGGAGTATGCAATCACTGTGTTTAATTAATTTTTTCTGCAGTGTAACATGGGGTAAATCTTATCTCGGTGCTCAATTTAAACTTCATTAGTTTTCAATAAAATAAAACAGGCTATTTCTTCTTCTTTGAAAATGATAAGTTGTGACAAGAGCCTATCTTAGACAATTTGGTTCCAGGCATCTGGGCACATAGAAACTCCCAAGGACCTCTTATAAGGTGCTTTATTGCTGAATTTGAGTTGGTTTTAGACATGAAAGTCACTGGGCCTCCCCATCCTACTACATCGCAGAGACATTTTACAGTCTCCCTTCCCACTTCTAAAAACCCAACCACTCTAACACTGTGAAAGCTCTTTAAATACAGTACTTTCTAATACTTTTAAATACTGTCAATCTCACTTATTACATTGTGTGGAATGTAACACTTTGTCAATAATATGATTAACTAAGTGACACCTAGCAAGTTCACTCCTTCCATGCCAGATCTTAATGCCATCCCTCCAAAGTTCAGCCTGCCACAGGTACTGTATTATAAATCAGGAAATTTCCCTCTTGCACATATCCTGTTTGGTCTCACTTGTTTGTTTTTTTTTGCTACTATGCGGTATTGCCTCCAACAACATGACAGGGTGATTTGCTCCATGCCCCTCAACTCTTTGTGTAAAGGGGTGTCTCCTATTCTCAGTTTTCAGCACTCGCAGTCAACAATTCCACACAGCACTCAATCTTCACACCGTCCTGACCAGCAGGGAAAGGGGTTGATCAATCAGCCCGCCCCTCCCTTCTTCCTTACAGCTCAGGGGAGCAGCTGAGCCTCCATCTGTCTCTTCTCTCACTCTCACTGTGATGGGTGGCCCCTCCGGCTCACTCAGAGCCATTCACTCATTCAGTGTGAATAAATGTGACACTTGTGTTTTCTGGCATTCAATTAATTACATATGAGAAATATGAGTTTGATCTTTCCTATAATATTAACTTAAAATTACAGTATAACATTTTATAATTCTTTTAAGCAAGAATGATTCCATAATCCAATCCATTACCCAGTGATAGAATGGATAGATCTGGAGTGCACTGTAAACTTTTTTTAGAATACTGTATACTACTCTGAAATTAACATTTGAATGCTTTCCTTCTCTGAATGTGTATATAATGACCCAATCTTAGCAAATGACAGTAATCTACTACATACTGTATGCTATCTCAGAATGAATGAAAAATTATAACAATGTGAACAATTGATTGTCATGTAGTTTACATATGAAGAAAACAATAGAAAAAAGGGTACATTATTTTAAAAGCCTTTCCTTAGCCCTACCACAACTATATTAAAATTGCAATTGGCACCTTTGTCTTTTGAATCTTATTTGCTTCTTTTCCTATTCAGGTATCATTAGTAAATTTGAGTAATAAAAATGTGACTAGTCAGATTACCAGTACTAGTTCTGATTTACACTAACTATAATGTAACTTAGCT